ACCCCAACCCCCAACTCCTCCGGTTTGTTGTTTAAACCACCTAGTCATCCACCCCTTTGTCTAATCGTCTCCTTCCCTGCTGCCATACACGCTTTGGGAACTCTTGATGCAGAACATAGATAGTCTTTCTGAACCAGACATGGATGCGTGGCCTACCATCTTTGCATTATGTTTCGTTACTTGTATGGAAAGGCTGGTGCAAAAGAACCCTTTGATCTTTAAATGGGTCGGTAGAGGACATGTTCACATTAATTCTCACAATGTTCTTGTGTGTTTTATTGTCAAGGACTCAACTTGGACAATTAAAGAGAGAACCACATTGTCCTTGTGTAGCAAGACTGTTGGGGCATGTTCGTAGTGCTTTAGGTTAACCATATGTGTTTCTAACAACGTTTGGCTGGAAAATTTGAAGGACTCATTTGAAAGTGCTTTAGAAATGATTGAAAGCGCTTTTGGTGAAATTAATTTTAGGTTCAAAAAGCATATTTAAGTATTTTTTAAAAGAAGCACTGGAATGTGTAAAAATGACTTCCCTTGTAACAAAAGTGAATCTAAGCAAAACACTATGAGCATGAGTATTTTCTTAGACCCTTTATGATACTACGTGATATATTGTTAGATTGTTTCTCTTGTGCTTATCTTAAAAGCACTTTTAATCAATAAAATTTGTTATGCTTCTAATAAAAGTGCTTAAAGCAAAAACGCTTATAGCAATCACATTTCGCTACCAAATTCGATTGCAGAAATTTATTAGATGCATTGCATGGAATGGCCTTTCTTATTTATAATTTTTACCACCTATAACTTTCAGCTTAAATCCGTGATACTTTAAATTTCTCATGCCTTCGACGTTTTCTCTTCTGCAAAAACATAAAAGCCAATTGCTACAAGCAACTTTAGCACAAACCAGCAAAAATATCCCATCTCTTGCCATGATTTGTAGTTTTTCACATGCAGTGGACTTGTCAATTGAATAAAAATCTAACCACTCGAAGTCTAAAATTTTAGAGTAACTTACATGAAACATATTTGTCTCTTAAAAATGTCTTTTTAACGTAACTTGCATGGAACATATTTTTTTGTGATGTTCTAACTAATTATATATTATTATTTAAAATAAAACTTATACCTGGTAATATATTATTAGACCCGAAAATTACAAGACGGTAAATCATTTATGTGTGTTTCTCCTAAACTTGACTTATTAATTTTTTTCAATTGTGACATTTAACAAGGCCTGCTGCCGTGTCCTGCATGTTTGGAGGTACAATGCTCTTTCAAAATGCCTCTCTATGAATGCTACCTCACAATTCAACATAAATTTCATGCCAACAGTAAAATATTGTAACAAAAACATGAGAAAACGTATAATTTAAAAAACGTGATAAAAAATTCATGAAGAGTTTTACTTTGAGAAATATCTTTTTAGCGTTTTGAACTACCTAAACGCAAGTGTGAAAGTTGTGGTCCATAAATTAAGTGACGTAATCTAAGTGACGTAATTTGCCAATAAAGTACCAACTGACGTGATTTAAATGCTTGATTCTTTCCTTTTTGACCAGAATAACCAATGAGAAAGCAAGCAAATTCCCGTTAGCAAATGGCAGACTAGTTTGATGAATTCAAGTTCAATAAGAAGACAAAAGTAAACTACAAAATTGGTTAAGTATATTTTTAAAAGAGGTATAAAGTTCAAATATTATTTCCGCTTGATTAACTTGGAAACAAAAGAAGAGAGAGAAGAATATTGAGGAAAACTTCCATCGTTTATGAAATGAAAATAAATTTGATATACGAATACTTCAATCAAACATGAACGATAAAATATATTTTATAACTTAAGTCACGTAATATGTGTTGCAAATACAAAATAATAGATTGTTAGTGACAACAGATTTTCGATACACATTCATTTTTACATTCATTTATATTAGTTTGAAGATTGTGTGTAATGATTCATTAAGAAAGTTAAATGAAATAGTGATTACTGCCTCTCTAAGTCTCTCCTTCCTCTCTCTCAAGCCTCTGTTCTTCTGTACGTGTTAAAAGGCTTCGGTACTATGGTTAACATTTTTCACACACCCTTGTTAACTCTTTTTTATCATTAATCTTTGTCAATTCATTCGATCCACGGCAAAAAAAAAAAAAAAAAAAAAAACGATGTATAAGAAGTAAAAATAGGTGTGTGAATGAAGTAAAAATAGATGTGTAGATAGCACTACCCTAAAATTTCTCCCACCCTAATCCCAACACATAACATGTACCAAAGGAAAGGACCCATAGGAAAGAAAGAGGAATCTAGACCATTAACACCCAGCTAATTGGCTCCTCCAAGTTATGGTCAAATATTTGATCCAATGAATTGTCTTGGTTGGAGAACTGCAGTAGCGACTTTTACCATATGATATATGAAGTCTTGTGGCAAGTTGGAAAGTCACTACCAATCAAAAGAATAATACTTAATTGTGATGCAAAAATAGACATCCGATATGAAAGTTTTAATTATATTTCATATTTTTGTGGAAGTGCTTATGTACGAGTCTTGGTCATTATTTTTAGTGGCAGACCGGCCAATTCAATCAACTTTAGTTCATGGCAGATGCCACGAGGATGGGGACCCTTTTTGTTCCTTTTGCACTACTCCAAACTTACCAAAACAGAATGAGATCCACTTCAGAACTCTCTGGAGTTTGGGGATCAAGAGATCTGAGCTGTTGAAGAAAAAGAGACTAGAGCCGTTCGAGTTTGGGAATTTTTGTGAAGTGCGCTAATGAGATGGGTTAATGAAGAACATTGGAATGAAATTGAGTATTGGAAGTGAATATATATTTTTGAAGGTAAATTACTATTCACCGCTTTTTCTTTGCTCTTTGTGTAATCTTCTGCCGTTCTACGCCAACATTTTGATTTGGATGTGGGGATAGATAAGATAATGCTTAATTGTAATGAATATGTCTACAAGCACTGGCAATGAAATTGACAGGTTTTGTTATAGTGGAACAATCTGGTTACTATGCATGGAATCGATCAAATTATCGACTACAAAGGTCGGAATTTTGGTTCTAAAACTAGGGTTAGGGTTCAGGGCGAAAAAAAAAAATGCTGAGTGATGATACATAGTTTTGGAAAAAAGGATCCGGCAATGATTTTTTGCTAGGGATTCTTGGGATTTCGTGATCTCAGTCGTTTAATGTACATCGTGCAGTTAGAAATCATTTCAAATTTTAAAATTTAAAATTAAATATGAATAGTATATAATAAAAATTGACCGTATGGTATACAATGAACAGAGAAGATCACGGGATCCCTAAAAAATGATCCGACGAGTTTCCTTTTCCTAGTTTTGGCACCATAAATCTAACCACTGAAAGTGTAAAAAAGAAACTTGTTCACATCACAAAGTGTGTTTAATTGTATTACGTACATATCGAGTAAATTGTGTGAAGAAATCTTATGTTATTTATCTATCATTTCGGTTTTGTAATGATTACTACAGGAAAATCAACTGTGAAGCCTAGATACTTCTTGGCATTCGCATTTCAAAAAGATCATCCCTATGATAATTTAGTTAAGAATATGATAGCTAGTTACGAATATGTGGTGAGAAATGAAACGACGTAGCAAGAAAGATTTGAACACTCAAAGGATCAAATCGAACAACAAGATGATCAAGAGAGACTATGTGTCTCACCTTTTGTGCATGGAGAAAGCAACGATGGCCAGGTGGTATGGGAATTAGAGAGACTATGCATCTCATTTGTTCCTTTCAGATTTAATATAAAGTAAACAGATATCGGTAACTTTAGTTTCATAAATCTCAAGAAACAGCAACCACTTATACGTGGATGTGGTAGTTACACCTAAAGCTGCTTTGAATAATATTTCTTTGTTATACTGTTTCCTGATAATCATATAGTGCTCCTGAAGTTTTCTGTCGGAAAAGAAGGAAAAAAAAAGGGAAAACACCATTTTTTATATGTGAATGCAGATTAAAGTTGCAGCAGGATATCATCTTTAATTATTGGTTTCCTCATCACATGTATAACATTTATATGCCTAATTGAAAAGGGAAATAGTATCCCTTTGGCCTGATCGACCCTCTTCGAGCACGTGTAGAGATAAGTGGAATATAGCCAACCCAAATATGAGTTCGATAAGGTTGATGAGGAGTACGGACTATCTATGAATTTTAGAATGCAAACTCAAATATGAGAAAACGAAAAGGAACAATTAAGCTCAGTTTAGTTAACTAGCTACTTCATAAGATTAATAAAACCCTTGAAAGAAAATTAACACTGTAATAGAAGTTTCTGGCTCATATAGTTCATCTCGTTTTGTTTAATTTATTTTCGCTGTTTGTTGTTTCTTAAGATTGGCGATTTCGGGTTTCTTTGTTTGATCATATATCCTCCAAATTGAATGTTTTACCCTTGTTTTTTGTTGTTGTACTCACGAGAGGTGGCAGTTAAAGAGTAAGTGTTAAAATTACTAGGTTTTGAATAGAAAATGAATGAGGCATTATATATTTATGTACTACATTACGTTACATGATTTAAGATGGGTCCCTTGCATGTGTTCAAGGTTTGTATGGCAGAAATTGACTCGTTGGAATTTCGCTTTCTTTAGGTTGTAGGGTGCAATGTGACATGCCAGCTCATCATTTTCACACTACTAAAATCGGCACAATTTGAACTTAAAATAAATGGTCTAGGTTTCACGTAAAATCTGCCAATAACACGAAGGAATTTTTACAAGAACAGTTAATCTGCTAAATTTCGTTTTCATCAAGCTTTTAATTGATTCGTAAACATCTCTACTACTGTGAAAGCCGAAAATTGCACAGTAGTAAATGTGTTTTCCTTTGTCAAATGACCGGTCAAGAACAATGGTGGGTTTGTGGGACCTTGTTAAATGATAGATACGGTCATTTATATATACAATTATATGTCTGTCATATAATGAGAGAAATAGATTTAAAATTATAAACAATCGGTTATAAGACAGATTTTCTTCTAACAAAACGAGAGGGAAGGGTCCTACTGCCTTCTGAAATCTGTAAACTTTTTCCAGTAGCATCTTGTGATAGAGTACTGCTTTTCACCTTTGGCTTTCTTTCTCTCCTCTTGCTGAGCGTCTCAATTATAAAGGCGCGCAATATACCACAAATTGAAGACCAATATTTGTTTTTATTTGTACATCATCATCAAGTATTTCAATTTGCAGGTGGATATTGTTTGACATCTTTCTAGTTTGGAATAAATTGATGGAGAAGTGCCCTAGTTCATCTAGAACTGATAGGAAAACTATAGAAAAAAACAGAAGAAATCAAATGAAAGCACTATTCTCCAAGCTCAATTCTCTTGTTCCCCACCGACGATCAAGGGTCTCTCTCTCACTCTCTGAATCTTCTTTGTGGGTGTGTAATTGTTAAGATTAGACTGTAATTGTTAAGATCATGTTTTCTTGTCAGACTGCGTGTCTGTTTATGTAATTGTTAAGATTAGATATTCAGACTCACAATCTAACGACACAACATTTGTATGCTAATACAGGCGTGCTAAAAGAAATGTGTTTTTGTTCATGGGATTATTGTTGCAGGAAGCGTCGCTGCCGGACCAACTAGATGATGCTGTAAACTACATTAAAAAATTACGGACAAACTTGGAGAAGTTGAGGGAGAAGAAAGACAGGCTAATGGGAATCGAGAAGAGCAGTCATTGTAATGCAGGGTTTGGCCGCAGTGGTGGACCAATAACCGAGGGATTAAATTCATCACCATTGGTTGAGATTCATGAAATGGGTTCAGCTCTAGAGGTTCTGATGATAACCGGGCTGGATTACCAGTTCATGTTCAATGAGTCGATTCGAGTGCTTCAAGAAGAGGGAGCCGACATTGTTAATGCCAGTTTCTCAGTTGTCGAAGATACTATTTTTCACACAATACATTCCAAGGTAACTAAGCAAACAACCACACAATTAATCGTAATTTTTTAGACTGTACTGTAATTATACACATTTTTATAGTCTGCGCATATACTGTAGGTTAGAGAGTCTGCAGCACCAGGCTCAGTAGCTGCAAGGATATCGAAGAGACTAAAAAAGTTTGTGAACGATCAAGATGGTGCATTTTGAACCTATAAATATATGATCTGTTTCATTGAAGTACAAGTCCTAATGTCGGTTGTTGATCTGAATTTGGCCTTCTTAATTAATTATGAGCCTGAAGCTTATCAAAATTACAAGTCCTAATGTCGTTTGTTGATCTGAAGATTTTATTTTCAAATCCTATGGCCTCTATATATATGTTTACATATATTAAAGTTCAGTTAGCATGAGTACTCACCAAATGAGAGCTACACACACACACACACACACACACACATATATATATATATATATATTTTAGCATTCTATGTATATAATTTCTTCTTAGTTACCATTTTTACTACGTACAGTTTAATGACAGAAATTATTTGAATCTGTGGAAATATATATAGGAGATATAGTCAGGTAGACAACAAAGAAAATCACAATGCTATTGGGATCGGAAAAAAAATGAAAAATGCTAGACCATCGATTCCTTACTTGCAAAACAAGGGATATTTGAATTACAAATTCTCCAATCACATTTCCTGATTGCTCATCGCTCCGTTCTTTTGATTTTATTGCATGTGAAGGAACTAATTTCTCTCCTACATCAAAACATCAATTAAAAGGTTGAAGAATTAAGCACCATAGATATTTATTGTGTTTGAGTTCCGAGTTAAAACTCTCTCCCAGTTGTACTGTAGCAAGTCACACCTCATGAATCTAATTATTTCTTGACTGAATATATTTTGCTATATGTGTGTGTGTGTGTGGACAGTATGAGCATCGTTTGGCTGTACAGGAATGAAATTTGCAGAAACAGTATTCTAATACGTTATGGAGCAGCTGGTGTATGTGGGAAAGCCCTTAGTATTCTTGATTAATAGTTCTGATACGATATGGAGCAGCTAGAGCAATGTTGATTAATTAAGATTCAGTGGTGATGAAAAGTCTTTGATTCTAGGGTTTAGGGTTCAGAATTAGCTTAATTAGTATTGTCTTATGAAGACATAACTCAAATGGATTGATGGCCGTCAAAACTATAACAATCCAGCAGCTAGCTTCACAAAAATTAAAACATATCTAATCTACTTGCCAAATGGTCCTGTCCTCCGAGCGGTCGTCTCAGAGTAAACTTAATGGAGCCTGGAATGAATCCTTAAAGTTTGTGGTGCAAGAATAGTGGTCAGAGACTCATACGGTGTCTTTGTGGCTGCGTTCGTCAGAAAGTCGGACAATGTTTTCTCCCCTACGCAGGCTGAAGCTATGCCGGTTCGTGCGGGGTTAGCTTGGACGACGGAAAGGGGTCTCAAAATTTATTCTTGAGAATGATTCTCTCCAAATCACTTCGGCGCTGCTGGAGCCTTCTCTTAATTCGACAATGGTTGGTCCAATTGTAGAAGATGCTAAGGCCTTGCTTAGGTCGGGCACTGGAGTCACACTTTCCCACATTCGCCGCCAAGCTAATGGAGTTGCCCATCATCTCGTCAATTGCTCTTCAGGTTGATGACTATGTTTATATCTACAAGCTAATGGAGTTGCCCATCGTCTCACCAAAATTGCTCTTCAGGTTGATGACTATGTTTATATCCACAAGACTACACTACAATATCGCAATTAAAATTAAAGTTGATTAATGTGATTCAGAATAAGAAAGAAACTACAAAATTAATGAAATTAACACTCAACCATCTAATGTATTGTGAGAAAATGTACATGGCAGATGATTGAAGCTCGTGTTAATAAGTGGGAACACTAACTTGGGCAACTGGTCTAGTAACCAACATCTACCTAGTTGTTTAGGATTTTACTTACGTTTAATTGTTTGTTAAATTTCAATTTCTAATAGAATTTTAATTGTTAATTAGATTTTCCAGTATAATTTTAATTGTGAATTTAATTTTTATTTTCGTACTTTACTTGATGCCAATTAAACCATGAGAGTTTTCTCAATTATTGTTTTTTCACTATTTTTGTTTTTGGCATCAAACGTTGTGTAATTACTTAGGGCTCGTTTGAAAGTATTTTTAAAATGACTACAAGTGTTTTAGATAAAATATTTTTGAATTCCAAAAGTACTTGAAGTGCTTTATCAGGATTCAGATGCATTTTACTAAGAATTGGTTCCAAAAATATTTTCAACAAAAACAATTTCAGTTATTTTAAAAGTACTTCGAGGAGCCACTTAGGTCATCTCCAACTGAAGGGTCCAGAGGGCCGAAAATAGGCCGAAAACCAGTCTCCAACCAAGGGCCAGGCTAATGGGCTCATGGGTCCCATGGGACAAAAAAGAGTCAAAGGGCCAACCAGCTAGCCCAACCCAACCAGCCCCTGGTGGGGCCACAAATTTGAATGTAACGGCTAACTAACGTCAGTTATATTTGATTCTTTTTTTTACAAAATTAAAAAAAAAAAAAATTAAAATTCTATTTTTTTTCCTATAACTTCCTAAGCCCTTAAACAACATTAAATAACATTAAGTAACATGAAACAACATTAAACAATATTAAACAACATTAAATAACATTAAACAACATAAAAAAAACATTTAACAACATGAAACTTAAAAAACATTTTTAAAAACATTTAACAACATAAAACTTAAACGCCTGCTCCATGCTTCTTTTGGCCCAAAGATGTGCAACAAGATCATGTTGTAGGTATTTGTTTGTGGCACAAGAACATATCATCATATAGCGCCTCATGTACTCATTTAAAGAGATACTATCAGTCCTTGGATTCAAAGGCAAATTAGGCCCATCATATATTTTTGTACGGGCCCTTCTTGACCTATTTGGATCCTCTTGGTCGTCATCAGCCCTTCTTGACCTAGTTGTAGTTTTTAAATTTAATTAATAAATTATGTTTGGCCTTATGGCCCTCGGTTGGAGATGGTTTTTTGCCACAGGGCTATGTTTGGCCCTCGGTTGGAGATGGTAAGGCCATCTCCAACCGAAAGGTCTAGATGGCCGAAAATATCCTAAAAACCAACTCTAATCGAGGGCTAGGCTAAATGGCTAATAGGCCCCACTGGACAAAAAAGGGCCAAAGGGCCAACCGATCAGCCCAAAGGAGCCAGCCAGGCCAGAATTTGAAAACCAACAATAACTAGCTGATGTCAGCTAGCCGTTATTTTTGAATTTTTTTTTCTTTTTTCTTTTTACAAATTTTTTTTTAAAATTGTAAAAATTCTTTTTTTTCTTCCTATAACTTCCTAAACCATTAAACATTACATAACATTAAGTGACATGAAACAACATTAAACAATATTAAACAACATTAAATAACATTAAACAACATAAAAATAAAACATTTAACATGAAACTTAAACAACATTTTTAAAAATATTTACCAACATAAAACTTAAACACCTACTCCATGCTTCTTTTGGCCCAAAGATGTGCAACAAGATTCTGTTGTAGGTATTTGTTTGTGGCACGGGAACGTATCATTCTATAGCGCCTCATGTACTTATTTAAAAAGATAATACCAGTTCTTCGATTGACAGGCAAATTAGGCCCATCATATATTTTTGCACGAGCTCTTCTTGACCTATTTGGATCGTCTTGGTCATCATCGGACTCTCCATCAATCTACCCATCTTGCTCATCCTCCACAATCATGTTGTGTAATATGATGCAAGACATCATGATGGAGTCCAACTTTTCTTGACTCCACCTTTTTGCCGGTTCGCTGATGATCCTATCATGCCTGGAAACCCACGGTCTTTAGCTTTGCGAATGAGCCGATCCAGATCTTCTTGATTTGGCTCACGGAGGTACTTGTCTTTGTAAAGCTAAACAATTGTGTCACAGAATTCAGCAAGAGTATCAAGGCATGTAGACTCAGAAATACTATAGGTTTGATCCATCGAATCAGTTGGGGAACCATAGGCCATCATTCGGAGTGTAATAGTAACCTTCTGATGAGGTGAGAAACCAAGGTGGCATGCTCTGCCCCGCTTCTGTTGACAGTATGGATTGACCTGCTGAACATCACAAAGTAAACGCTCGAAGACATGACGCCTTATCCGGAAGCGACATCTAAAATCATCTTCTGTGTACACCGAGTTAGGGTTGAACTAGTTGTTCATCAGATTGGCATGCGTCATTGCTCTGTTTCATGGTTTGTAAGAATGACCAGCAACGGAGCCATCCCATTGAGGTTGTTCCTCAATTGGCTAACACATCATGGTTGCCACATATTGTGTGTTGCGCCATGCTTCATCTTCTTCACCAGACTCCTCATCTTCTTGTCTCATCTGCGCCCATTTTTCTTCCAATTTGGAATTGGATGAGGACCCTCAGTTGGAATTCGAAGAGGATCCAAAGTTGGAATTCATTGCAAACTTGAATTGAAAAAGATTGAATTCAAATGTGTGTGAATTATAGCCCAATATCCACCCTATTTATAGCCCAAAAAATTTCAAATCCATCAGCTAGCTAACGTTATGCTTACATCACTTAGCCGTTGGATTTGAATTTAAGTTGTAGTTTTTAAATTCTAAATTATGTTTGGCCCTATGGCCCTTTGACTCTTGGTTGGAGATGGTTTTTTGTGACAGGGCTAAAACGAGCCCTATGGCCCTCGGTTGGAGATGGTAAGAAATATGATCCTGCACTGTTCATTAAAATATTAATTTCTTGGATGGCCAGAGGGCTAAAACGAGCCATCTGGCCAGCCTTCGGTTAGAGATAGCCTAAGCGATATGGTCCTGCACTGTCCATTAAAATATTAATTTCTTGGAAAGCCAGAGGGCTAAAACGAGCCCTCTGGCCCTTCTTTGGTTGAAGATGGCTTTAGTACTTCGGTTTAATGGTATTCATTTTCGCTTGTAAGTGATAGGTCTTAGGTTTAATTCTCGTAAAAGGTAAATTTGAACCACATTATTATTAGTCCGTTATGAGGTTTAGTCTACTCATTTCTCTTAGTAGATATCGTTTGTTCAAAAAATAGAAAAAAAAATGGTACTTTTAGGTTTAGGAGAAAACCCTAGCCACTTCCATACTGCCCTTAATATTCGGAAACTTTGCGAGGCCCAATAAAATATTATTGGACTAGGAAAAACCCCTACCTTAGTCGAGATTCAAGACCCAGAAACACCAACAATTCATAACGGCCGGTGGCAGAACAGTAAATTCACATGGCATAAAAACCGTGCGTACACTAGGGTTTTAAGCCCAAACCCAATCGGGAGTAAAGCTTCCGACTTCCACTGTCTTCCTCTGAATCTCACAAATCCAGCAATTATGGTCGAAGGTTTCGAAGTCGGCGGCGTCCCTTTCAACCCCGACGGGTGGGGCCCACCTGAGAGCGCCACCACCCCAACCACCACCTCCAATTTGCCCCAAAACGTCCCCTTCGCCCCCTTCTCCCGCTCCGAGAAGCTCGGCCGGATCGCCGACTGGACCCGCACCTTCAACAATCCTGCCCGCTCCAAGAACCCATCCGACGCCGTCTTCGACTTCTCCAACGGTGAGTCGTTCCCCGGCTCCGCCGATGACGACGCGTCGTTCCGTCTCGTCGATGGAAAGCCCCCGCCGCGCCCCAGATTCGGTCCCAAGTGGCGGTTCCAGCAGCAGCGACAGCTCCCCCACCGCCGCGACGAGGAGGTCGAGGCCAAGAAGCGCGAGGCCGAGAAGGAGCGAGCCCGCCGTGACCGCCAGTACAACATGAACCGGTCCAACGTCAATGCCCCGCGCCGAGAAGCTGCGGTTTTCAAATCTTCCGTCGATATCCAACCTGAGTGGAACATGCTCGAACAGATCCCCTTCTCCACATTCTCGAAGCTCTCGTTTTCGGTTCCGGAGCCGGAGGATCTCCTCTTCTGCGGCGGACTCGAGTTCTACGATCGCTCCGTCGATCGAATCACCCCCAAGAACGAGAGGCGGCTCGAGCGGTTCAAGAACAGGAACTTCTTCAAGGTCACCACCACTGACGATCCCGTCATCCGCCGCCTCGCAAACGAGGATAAAGCCACAGTCTTTGCCACAGACACCATTCTCTCGACTCTTATGTGCGCACCCAGGTCAGTTTACTCTTGGGATATTGTTGTTCAGAAAGTTGGGAACAAATTATTCTTTGATAAACGTGATGGGTCGCAATTGGATTTGCTTTCGGTTCACGAGACATCTCAGGAGCCATTGCCTGAAGCTAAGGATGATATCAATTCAGCTTATTCGTTGAGTGTCGAGGCTGCTTATATCAATCAGAACTTTTCACAGCAGGTTTTGGTTAGGGATGGGAATAAGGTCACATTCGATGAGCCTAACCCGTTTGCAAACGAAGGAGAGGAGGTTGCTTCCGTTGCTTATCGCTACCGAAGGTGGAAGCTTGAGGAGGGAATGTATCTGGTTGCGAGGTGTGAGGTGCAAAGTGTTATGGAGGTGAATAATCAGAGGTCGTTTTTGACCCTGAATGCGCTTAATGAGTTTGATCCCAAGTATTCGGGTGTCGATTGGAGGCAGAAATTGGAGACTCAGAGGGGTGCTGTATTGGCAACTGAGCTTAAGAACAATGCCAACAAGTTGGCTAAATGGACTGCCCAAGCCCTCTTGGCCAGTGCTGATTTGATGAAGTTGGGTTACGTTTCGAGGGTTCATCCTCGTGATCACTTTAACCATGTGATTTTGGCTGTGGTAGGATACAAGCCCAAGGAGTTTGCCTCGCAGATTAATCTCAACCAAAACAGTATGT